CTTGTGCCACGGCCCACCATCGCCACACGCCCTCACACTCCCACCCGCACTCCTAACCCTTCTCACGAAAACGTGTCGAGCTTTTTCTGATCGCGCATCAACGAAAGTGAATCAACGAAAGACCAAGAAATGGGAATAGGTGCACTTATCCGGAAGTAGCTGCGGCAAACATGGGAGAGGGCACTCTCCCTGGTGATGGGCGACTGCTATCTGCTGCAGCGCTGCCTCCCTGCAGTGCCAGTTCCCTCTGCTGCGTCACAAGCTCTCTGGAAGGCGGGAACAAGGGAGTGTAGGGCAGAAGGGGAGTGGGTACAGGCCTTGGGACATGGAAGGTCGGACAAGGCATGAGTGCAAAGGGGCAATAACAGAGGTGATTACCGAAAGTGAGAGCAGCGCAATCCATTCGCCTTGAGGCCAGAGGGGGACAAAGGCACAGGGAGAAGGAGATGCATAGGAAAAGGATCGGCCTCGGAACTTGCAATGAATGGGAGCAGCAAGAACGTCAAGGTGGCAATAGAGCAGAAGCAGTGAAGAGCGAGCGAGCGTTGAGAAACTTGAAAATGAAGCACAGCAGAAACAGAGTGGTTGGATCGTGGTGGGAGGCGGAAGGAGGGGGGAGGGGGAAGGCGCATGGCGACAGTAGCCCACGGCACTACAGCAGCGAGCTGAGCCAGCGAGGGGGGACTGGGGTAGAGAGGGACACACGCATGGCATGAATGCACTCCCTCTCCCACTCATCTCTCCCACCACTCCCACTGCACTGCACTCTACATGAGCTCTGCTGCCATAGCACCATGGCCCACCACCACCATGCGCCAAAAGACGAATGTGCCTTGAGATTTGCCAAGAGTGAAAGAGACGGTGGGGAGCGCTGGAGGACGGGGGTGGCGGAGAGGAAACTTAGCTAAGGATAAGCGTAGAGGCTGAAAGTGACTCGTCCGAGGCAGCAGCATCACCGTTCCGCACACCGTCGCACGCACGCAGCTCGACGCCATCCCGCACAATGTCGCACGCAACTCGTCGCCGTTTCGCACACCGTGGCGTCACCATTCTGCACATCGTCGCACCCAGCTCCTTGCAATTCCGCCTGCACTCCATTCGACCTGAGGCCAGAAGATGGATGGGGAACAAGGCACGGCGAGAAGGAGATGCAAAGAGACTGGCGTAGCGCAGGCAATGAAGTTAGAATGATGAAGCAGGAAGCATGACGTGGAATTGTATGAGTATTGGGAAACTTGAAGCAGATGGCAGAAAGGCACGGGAGGGGTTGAGAGGAGCGTGGGAGGCGAAGGGCGTGTGGCGATGGCAGGCCACGGCAGTTTGGCAGCGAACGAGCTTGCAAGGGGGGACTGGGGTAGAGGGGGACGCGGGCATGAGGATGAATGCATTCTAACCACCTACGACTCTACTCTACATGCGCTCAGCTGCCTTGTGCCACGGCCCACCATCGCCACACGCCCTCACATGCACACTCGTACCCCTTCCGAGAAATCTAGGAGTCGTATTGCGGGCGAACAAAAGCGAGACAAGAGACAGACGGGAGTGGAGTTGAGAGCACTTGACCAGAAGTGGCTCTGGCTGAACGGCATAGCGTCTCCTCCGACTCTCTCGTCCGTCGCCCGTCATTGAGGCGCGTCGCTCGCAGTTCGCCGTGCGTCGTTACTCGCTGCTCGCTCGTTCGCCGTGCGTTGTTGCTCGCGGGTCGCTCGGTCGATATAACCAATACCCGTCACTCGCCATCCGTCACTCGTTGCTCGCTGCTCGGACAGGGGAAAGGAGGCATGCAACAAAAACTGGAGCATGCAAGCAGCAGGCCCGCGAAGCGAAGAAAGTACAGGTGAGATGATTGAGAGCAAACGAGCACATGACAGCACGGCATGGGAGGGGTTGGGAGGAGCGTGGGAGGCGAAGGGAGTGTGGCGATGGCAGGCCGTGGCAGTTTGGCAGCGAGCGAGCTTGCAAGGGGGGACTGGGGTAGAGGGGGACGCGGGCATGAGGATGAATGCATTCTAACCCCTCACGACTCTACCTACATGCGCTCAGCTGCCTTGTGCCACGGCCCACCATCGCCACACGCCCTCACATTCCCGCACACACTCGTACACCTTCCGAGCAATTGTATTGCGCGCTAACAAAAGCGAGACAAGACAAACGAGAGTGAAAGTTTTGAGCACTTAACCAAAGCGGCTGTCGCTGAATGGCGCAGCTCTTTCGTCCGTCGCTCGCCTTTCGTTGCCGTCCGTTCGCCGTGCGTCGTTGCTCGTTGGTAGCTCGTTCGCCGGTCGTCGTCGTTCGCTGGTCGCCGGTCCCGGTCGCTATCGCGGACGTCCGTCACTCGCCATCCGTCTCCCGTCGTTCGTTGCTCGCCGTCCATCTCTCGCCGTCAATCTCTCGTCGTCCATCTCTCGTCGTCCGTCACTCGCCATCCGTCTCCCGTCGTTCGTTGCTCGCCGTCCATCTCTCGCCGTCAATCTCTCGTCGTCCATCTCTCGTCGTCCGTCACTCGTCATCCGTCTCGCGTCGTGCGTTGCTCGTCTTCCGTCGCTCGCCATCCCTCACTCGATGTTCGCTGCTCGTCGTCCGTCTCTCGTCGTTCGCTGCTCGCTGTCGGTCACTCGTCGTCCGTCTCGCGTCGTGCGTTGCACTTCTTCCGTCTCTCGCCATCCGTCACTCGTCGTTCGCTGCTCGTCGTCGGTCACCAAGATGCGACGTCGCGATTCACCAAGATGCGACGTCGCGATTCACCAAGATGACCATGATGCGACGTCGCGATTCACCAAGATGCGACGTTGCAATTCACCATGATGCGACGTCGCGATTCACCACGATGCGACGTTGCGATTCACCATGATGCGACGTCGCGATTCACCAAGATGCGACGTTGCGATTCACCATGATGCGACATCGCGATTCACCAAGATGCGACGTTGCGATTCACCATGATGCGACATCGCGATTCACCAAGATGCGACGTTGCGATTCACCATGATGCGACGTTGCGATTCGCCAAGAAGCGACGTTGCGATTCACCAAGGTGCGACGTCGCGATTCACCAAGATGCGACGTTGCGATTCACCAAGATGCGACGTCGCGATTCATCAAGATGCGACGTCGCGATTCACCAAGATGTGATTCATATCTAGTCATTCGGCGAAGCTCGGAAGTAATCACCACCACACTCCTTCACTGCTCCGTACCGTTCCGCACTCCCAACCAAGACGCAAAGTCTCCCGTAAGCAGGACGCGATTCAATAAAATGCGACATTTCTCGGTTTCAGCAGGACGTGATTGATATAGCGAAGGCGAGCATCACCGGACAAGGCGTCGTGGAAAAACTGCAAGCTTTAAAAAATGGTTCGCTTTCCTCCGTTTCTAAATGATAACCGGTGGAGCCAGTCAGCACCCACGCTCCTACTTCTGCGGTCCGTTTCAGACGTTCTGGCTGGATCCTTGATACAGGTGGAAACTTCTAGCGTCGCTTCTCTTCGGTAACACCTTTCGCGAACGTCCAACTGCTTTCGCCATCAGGGTCGTCTCTCCTCAGAGTCTGAAACAACGGATAGTTGTCTTCAAGCGAGTAGAGTAGATATGATTTCAGTGATCAGGCAGAGTTGAACTGATTGAATAGTCTGAAGCTGCTTCAGATATAAGATGGATAATAAAGATACGACTAGGTCGGCGCTTCTTGCCGTGGAACGGCCCGCAAGTCAAGAGCTAGACAGAAGTATCCAGGATTAAGGTGCGTGATACGCTCTATGGGATGACACCCGACGAAACTCAAGGAACGCGAGGCCGCCATGGAAACGAGCTTGAGATACGTTTCTGACGTTCAGGGAAGAACTGGAAGAGGAGAGTGTAATGGCGACTGAGGCAATGGGATGTGAGTAGGTACAGTATGTGTGAAACGCAGGAGAGCGGAACGACAATTGGCTTCTGCTGCTCCTTGATTGCCAAACCAGGCGGAACTCTTAGCGAAAAGCATTTTGGTTCGCCAGAGGGATGTCACGACCTGGCGAACAAAACGCTGACGTTCGTGAGCGGAGTTACGGGAACAGCCGAGTTTCAGACGAAGCGGGTTTTTGCGTCTTTGCGCGGGAGCCGCCCAATTGAATGGTGGCTCCTGACAGCCATGCCAGCGATGGCGGGAAATTTGTTCATGTATCCAGCACCTCACGATCAACTTGATCTAACGGTGAGAGGTCTCTTAGCACCAAGGCGATTTGTTTGTGCAGAGGTGCTATACGGGCTGTAAACTTTGAAGTGTTTTCGAGTGTTGTAGGAGACATCATAGGATATTGTTTTCTCTTTATCTGTGCTGCACTTGTTGGAGCCAGGGTTTAGAATTAAAACCCTTGGACATTGTACCACTCCAACGCGGTTGGCTGGGAGCACCACGGAGTCCCACTGCACACGCAAGAGCAGGATTGTGGGGCTAGGGGAAGCTGCCGTTCCCGTCAGTGCGGAATCCCATTCTGCTCCTGATTTCCCCCTCATTCCTGTCCTGACTCTGTTCATGTCGCCTGATTCGAATTCCTGACAATTATGACTTATCGCTTGACAGTATGACGATGTCGCTGACGTCTCCATTTCCTCATCAGTTCTCATTAGTGTCTCATGCAACTGGCGGCGCGTCGCGCGCCGCGTCATTCGCAGCGAGATTAGCTTTATCGAGTGATCGACTCGGATGCGCAACTGCGCGGAACAAAACTCCTGCTCAAGCTACAATTGGCCGTGTACTTTTCGCATCGAAATTTGCAAGTGCAGGGATGGCGGAAGCAGGGAGAGCGGCAGCTGGACGAGGGAGGGTGGAATTCGGGGGGGTAGCAGCAATGAGGCCAGCGGTAGTCGCGTCTTCAACTTCCGGAGAGGCTCCCGTTGAGCCTCCGCCGTTCGCGGTGGTGCATAATGGCCGACTCTTAACTGATCGCGCCACGGGGACAATTAACATCGCGGATGGATGTACGCCGTGTCCCTCGGGGCCTCGAGCGTTTCTAGAAACCATGCCCAAAGGTATCATCACCGCCTTGCGCATTTCCACTCTCGTGGCTCATTCCGCGGCTCAGTCCGTCCTCTGCGTGTTCTTCCACCTCCTTCCGTTTTCCCTGTATCTCTGACTGTGCCCTCCTTCCTTCCCAGGCGCCTGCACCGCACGTTCAGCAGCGGTTCTTTCGTTCCCAATGCTGCCTTTTCTCCCTCTCTCCCTCCCTCCCCCCCCCATCCCTCCCTCCCTCCTCCTCCCCTCCTTCTCTATCCCTCCCTCCCTCCTTTCCCCTAACCCTCCCTCCCCCCAAGGCGCATACACCACCACTCGCACGTTCGGCGGCGGTTCCCACCTTCTCCTGTGGGACTTCCACGTCGATAGAGTCACCCAGTCGCTGCTGCTGCTCGCCGAAGCTCACCCGGAGCTGTTCCCGAACCTGTCACCGAACCTGCTGTCAATCCGTCACGAGGCGCAGGAAGAAGAGATCTCTCAAGAGGAGGATCAGAAAAAGGCGGATCAAATCAGAGATCTGGTTGCTGATTTGCGCAAAGATATTAGAGCGTCCGTGTTTGCAGCTGTGCAAGAAATGGTGGAGTGTGATTGGTGGAGGAGGAACGTCCAGGGAGAGCAGAATGGGGAACAGCAGGAACAGCCACAGCAGCAGCAGCAGCAGCAGCAGCAGCAGCAGGTGGAGATCTGTCTGATGATTCTTCTCTGTGGTAAAAAAGTGTTCGTTGCTGAAGCCGCCACAGCTGCTACAGCTCCAGTAATCAGAGAAACTGCAGAAACAGAAGCAACTGCAGCGCATGCACGAGGCGTTGAGGTGTATGTGCATGCCAGCACGGTTCGCACCACGAGCCCCTTGACATCCCTCTCCCTGCCGCCACCCGTCTGTGCTGCTGTCATGGGGCCTGGCCGAGACACTCCACTCGCAAAATTCTCCTCATGGCCCCTGTGAGTGTGCCTTCCTTCACTCGTCTCCCTCCTTCCTTTCCTACCTCGCAATCTCCTTGGCTGCTGTGTCATGTTCCATTCCCTGTTCGAACCATCCAACTGTCTGTGGCCTGGAGTCAAAAGTATAAGGTCAGTGACAAGTCCAGAAACCGTTTTCCATCTCCCCCCCTGTGTGCAAGCCTGCAGCGTCCGCCGAGTCCTGGAGGCGGCTAGGCCAGCAGAGGCAAACGACGTGATTCTATCGAATGACGGTGACGCTCTCCTCGAAGGCATTACCTCAAACCTCTTTGTCGTGGCTCGGACCGAGCCTGCCAGGTACGGCAACAGCGCACCCTCGGTAAAGGAGGAATAACGGGGGAAGAAAGGGAAGATAATAGACATCTGAAAGTCAGCAGGCGTCGCTTGAAAGTCAGCAGCAGATGATGGGTTTGAATTATTACCTCTAACGTTCTGCCAATCCCCATTGTGTCCGTGTTTATGATCGTGGCCCTTACCAGTGACAGTAACCCAAGCCGTGGTTCGTCCTGGCATGGATTCGAGCTGCAAACATCATCACTTGAGAGTGGGATCCTTCCAGGAAGCATCCGCCGAGCCATAATTGAGTATGTCAATTTGCATTCAGCCCTCATTTCAAGTATATGTTGAGTATGTCAAATGAGCCACTTCGTTTCTTTGTTTGTGTTTGCAGAATACATGCCGTGCATAATCACTTGAGGCACTTAGTAGTCTCATCTGTGTTGCACCCTCCCTTGCTGTTTTTGCAGCACGTGCGTAGAGAGGGGCATTCCTCTGCGCATCAAGACCCCGCGGTGGAACAAGCGTGCCTTGTGGGTGGAGGCTTTTGTAACAAGTGAGTGGCCCGTTACACACTAATATCGAACAATGCTGCAATGTGATGTTTTATTCCCTTGTTTTCCAACTTAGTGCTCACCCATCCGTCCTTTTGTTGTGTTCATCCCTATGCCTGTCCTTTGTCACTAAATGATGAAAAGTAGACAAAAAAACGTTGCTTGATTCCTTTTTGCTCCCCCCCCCCCCCCCCCCATTGACACGCATGATTTTCCCAACAACAAGCCAGACGCCTTGGGTATCGTCCAGCCTGTCAGCAGCATTCTCATGCCTGCCACGTGGCCTCATGAGATCACTTATGACAGCTGGCAGTCTGTGGACAATTGGCTGACATGGCAGGCTCCCACACTGGAGGTGAGTTTGTGTTGACATTATGCTGATTTATGAACTTATTTACTGTAGTCCAGACTTAATCTTACCTGTTGTCTGCCTTGCATCTACTTCTGCAATTCGTGAGCAGGATGGTGTAAACTCGCATTCAGCAATCCTCTTGGTAAGCAACAACTACCCTTTGCTCGTTTGTTTGTTTGTTTGTTTTTTTTTGCAAAATTTACAGCTAAAACGTTCATTCGTTCTTCATGTATTGCAGGGACATGTTGTTGATCACATGATTTCTAAAAGTGCAAAAGTTGATGCCTTGTCATCTGATGAGTAATTTATATGTATTGTTGGAAACTCTTAATTCGTTTCTTGCCCATCCGCGTTATAAGCCCTTATTTGCTCTGATGGGGAATCCAACACTCTAGCCATAGGAGTCTCTGAAGTATGAACCCGCATTCCGGTTCTGTCAAACCCACCTTAGTTTCCTGCATAATAACCAATCCGCAGATTCTCTCTTCCATAACGAGTCCTTTGTCCCTGACGTCACGCCTATCAGAAACCCCTTTAGTAGCTTGTCTCGCTATTGCGATATCGCGAGGCCATTATGGTTTCGCATCTCCGCTGCAACGACTCCGATTCTGCCGCTGTTAACGCTGTCGCGGATCCCGTCGCAGGTGACGAAAACGAATCTCACGACTCAGATGCGACGAACGGTCGGTCAGGAATGGACGGTGGGGGTGTTTCGTCGGTCGTTAATGGTCGTATTTGTAAATTAGATACGATCTTAGTTGGTGAAATAGCTGATCACCTGCCGTTACCTGGTGACGCGTTAGCAGATCACCGCCACGAGGAGTTTCGAATTCGCGAATTAGCGACAGAGGCAACGAATTCATGCGGCGAACTAGAGGAGGAACCGAGTGAGCAGCAGCAGGAGGAGCTGCAACGGCAGAAGCCGCATCAGCAGACGCAACAGAACGAACAGCAAAACCGACAGCGCAAGCTGCAGCAGCAGCAGCAGCAACAGCAGCAGGGGAGGCGGGCGTTCTGCGTGGAGTGTCACAAGGCGACGAGCGTGTGCATCTGTGACCGCTTCGGCGAGCCCGTGGACAACCGCGTGGGCGTCACCATCCTGCAGGTGCGCCTTACGTTACCGCGTTAACGTTACGTTCACGTCTGCGCTTCCGCTGATCCCTAAAACCCTTGCTGAACCCGTTTCTCGTTAGCTCCCGAAAATGCTGGGGCTGCAGCGCGGTTACTGTTGAGTCGACTCAAAATGCGACTTGGTGAGTTTGGAGTCGACTCAAACCCCCCTTCCACCCCGCACCTCCCCCTCCTCAAACCCCTCGTGCAGCATCCCAAGGAGAAGTACCACCCGCTGGGCTCGGCGCGCATTGCGCTGCTGGGGCTGCAGCGCGTGCGCGTGGTGGTGGTGCCGCTGGGGCGCGGGCGGCCGGGCTTGCAGCCCAAGGACCCCTGCTCCCGCCGCTCGCTCTTGGGGCGCTCGGGGAGGGGGCGGTGGCGCAAGGGCGCGGGGAAAACGCAGGGGCAAGGGCGGAATCAGGGGGGAGGGCAGGGGGGAGGGCCGGGGGAGGAGAAAATGCAGGGACAATGGAATGGCCAAGGGCATGGGCAAGGGGTGGATCAACGGGAGGGGGAAGGTCATGGCCAGGGGCAATGGCAGTGGCTAGGAGAAGAGCAGGGGTATCTGGAGGGGCGAATGCTGCAGGAGGTGGAGGAGCCAAAGCAGGGGCGGTGGGTGGACCAAGCGCAGGGGAAGGGAGATTCGAGTGAGAAGAGCAATGCAACGGATGGGGAAGCAAGCATGGGCACAGGTGGAGGGCTTATGGTTGCCACTGCGGATGGTGAAAGGGGTGAGGTGAGAGGGGGTGAAGTGGGAGATGGCGAAGTGGGAGAGGGATGTGTGGAGAACGGAGTAGAACGAGAAGAGAGCAGGGATGTAGGAGCGAGTGGCCCAGTTATGGGTGAGGAGCAGGGAGGAGAAACAGGAGATGGGGCGTCAGCAGATGATTCAAGCTTCAATTTAAGCTTTGACCTCCTGCCGTTTGCTGCTGCTGATGGGGCTGATAGTGGCAATGGCGCCGGTACCTTTGGTAGTGATCATTATGCTGATGGGAGCAGTGAAGAGGATGGGGGTGGTATGTGTTCTCAGGACACTCCTGAGACTGGAACAAGGGGGCTTGTTAACACTGCTTGTGGTGACCGTTGCTGTGATGACAGCAGCTGCAGCTGCAGCAAAGGTGGGAGGAGCAGCAGTGTGAAGAGCAAGAGTACAAGGAGCAAGAGTAGGAGGAGCAGCAGCAGCAGCTGGCGTGTTGTTCCTGAGGAGTTTGCGGTTGACAACCGTGGCGTGACGATGTCCCTTCTGCAAAGCAGTCACAGCACATCTTCCATCAGCCACAGCAGCAGTGGCAGTTGTCCCAGCAACCAAATGAGTCGCATGCATCTTGAAGACCGAGCTCTTTCAACAAGCACTGCCACCAGTAGCAATGGCAGTAGCTCTATACGCACACAGGCTGTAAGCACCGAGCCAGTGGAGATTCCAGAGTGGATCAGTTTGCCGCCCGGAGCTGCGGTACTGTACCCCTCCCCCCGATCCTTAGAGCTGCAACCTCCGCAACTGTCCAGTGGTCCCGAGGGATCTGCATCGTCCATTGGTAGCCAGCCATCGGAAGCGCTGAGACCGTCTCACCTGATTGTGCTGGATGGCACGTGGCCAAAGGCGAAGAGGATCCTGTGTCAGAATCCCTGGCTGCTGCAGCTGCCGCACTACCACTTGCCACCGCATGCTGCTGCGCCGTCAAGATATGGTTTCATCCGAAAGCAACCAAAGGTTGGACATTTTATTATTATTACTTTCCCCAATATTTCTCGCCGGGTTTCTCAACATTCTGTGCCATCTTTTTGTGTTTTCCCTATCATCCCTCCAATTCCTCCGCAGTTTGGTTGCCTGTCCACAATCGAAGCTGTGGTGTATGCTTTACAGATTCTTGAACCATATAATTGTGTGAAGCTGGATCAACTGTTAGAAGTATTTAACTCCATGGTCATAGATCAGGTGAGTTGTTTCTGGTTTGCAGGAACTGTTGCAGTGTCTTGTTCTCATCCATTCAACTGATGGTATCCACTGTCTGATTTTTGTTTTTTCCCGTTTTGAAGGTGGACGGAATGCGGAGAAATGGAAAATCGTCTCTTATTCCAGATGATTGGATTGCACCAGGAACATTAGCAGCTAAGGTGTAATCTTTGTGCCTTTTATTTGATTCAATGGAGGACTAAATGTTTCTACTGTTACCGTGGTTGTACAGTGTTAATGGAGACCTTTTCCTTAGTGTCACCGACCCAATCTGTTCGTGCATTCGCCTTCCAGGATTCTAGGGCTTGCGACACTGTGCGATCAGAGTCCGTACCGTCATTGGAGAATGGCGGTGCAGCTAGGTTTTTCCTACTCGCCGTATGACCGGAACTGATTGGTCCGCTTTGTTTGCCCCACACTCTCTCGCGCCAAAAGAATTAGGCGTGGCATTCGAATTCAAAAGTTTCTTGCGGTATTCCCGGATCGCGACTCGATACAGTGGCTGTGAGCAGCCAGCCAAGTTCCAAGAAGATCTCCCTGTCAGCCTCACAACACAAACAACTACAGTAGCACAAGGACCGGATGGGGATATCTGACGGTTTACCCCTAGTGTTGGTGAAAACAGCTTCAATTATCCAGACCAGACCGTCACATTTGAAGTTTGCTCTGCTTTCTCCCTCTGCCAGCCACTGCGTCCTTCAAGCCCCTTTACCCCTTTTCCCCATCAAGGACACATCTTCCCCAAGCCCAGCTTCTCGATTGTCCTGGAGAGCTCCCCTTCCCCCCATGGTACCATCCGCTGAATGACACCACTTCAGTTATTCCAGGCATCTTGTCAAGGCGGGAGATAATTTACAAATCTGGACGCTACCTCCTCTCCCGCTCGTTTTCGTCCCCCATTTTGCGTAACCACATGCAATCCCTAGGAAACTCATGCCATCAAAAACGCGTCTACACCCTCACCATATCGGTGATGCACAACAATGGTCAAGAATTAAGCTGGTCGAGCAACCTGGACTGCTTGTGTCTGGTGATTACTCGGCCTCCATGCTTATCCACCTAGACTGACCGCCTGATCAGGAGATTAATCTTAGGGGATAGAGAAGCTGTTGCCGACTGACCAAGTTTCTACGACAGGACTAACTCTAGCTCGAAACCTACACCGTCCGATGCTAGAGTAGCATGGCTCAGCAGGATTACGATGGATTTGTTGTGTCCGGTGTCGACATCAACAGCCTTTGCCATCAATGAACAGCCAGAAATAAGGTGCTGACGAAAGTAGGCTCACGTATTGCCTTTTTGTTTTCCCTGACTCTCGAAATAGACACTGATACCAGCTCTGTGTGCTCGCAGGGCTTATAAGCTTGGCAAGCAGAAATGCTCGTACAACCAGGTAGAGCTGGTATTTCTCAATGAGGATTCTCGCTCTTCGAAGGCCGAGCTTTCCCTGACCGAGGCTATCGAGGTTCCGATTGGAAGCGAGGTGGATACCTTTCTGCACGAGGGTACCCTGAAGTACAATCTGCGATTTCAGGATGACAGAAGAATGCGACTTTACGTGTTCCTGGTCTTCGCAAACCATCATGGAGCGACATTCAAAACTCAGGCTGAGTACCACTGGGTACCTGTTGTACGGAGTCAGTGCACAAAGGGTTGCATCGGTCCCATTCTGAAAGGGTTGCAGAGGTTCGGACGATTATCACGGCGTAGCGTAGTCGCTTCTCCTGATGATCCTGATGTGTGGAAGGAACCCCGGCATTTGTATATTGCCATTGACGAGGCTAGCACGCACATACGACCCTGCTGTAACACTTCGAAATTTAGGCTTCTGTTTGCGTTTTACTCAGAGTCTCAGCAATTTCTTGGGAGCTCTATTTCCAGTTCCATCAAGGTCGTCGCCAACAACGATGCGCCGCAAGGAGCAGCGAACTTGCAAGTCAACTGCTTCTTGCAGGGTATGTCTCTGCCTTACTTCTCGCTCACATTGGTCAGTTCGTGCAAGATCTAATCGTCCCTTTCTCGTTGTTCAGGCCTGAGCGCATTTGACGTCAGGGCATCAGGACGAGATCGCCCACCTTTCAAAGGTACTAATCAGGTGTCATCACCCTGCTTGCAAGACGCAATGCGCCGCTAAATGTCCTGACGACTCTACCTTTGCGCCTCGCTCGTCTGCAGCTCTCCTACCAAAAACCCCGAGATTCCACCCTAACGTCCCTGACACGAGGCCTCTCACATCCGAGGTAGGCGCGCCTGATGGTTGCTTGCGTTATTCGTCCACAAGGAAAAGCTAACAATGTCTTGTTTTACATGCTGCAGGTTCCCATCTGTTCTCCACTTCTTGGTGCACAAACGGCCTTGCCGTTGACACCAGGTTCAGGCATTAACCATTCAGACTTTCATCATCGTCAAGGAAGAGCCTACCTTCCACCTTTCAGCCCGGTCCCTTTTCCGACTGCAGCCATTACAGGCACTCCGCAGCAACACAGGCCAGAGGCAGGTTTGGGGGAGGATAGCTCAGCAACGGGTTCACGCAATGATGCAGCTCATTCACACATATCTCCCCACCCTATAGACGTGGTAATGCAGATAGGAGAACGTGGGATTTGCTGACTTACTGATCAATTTTCTTACTCAACGTTATTTTTTCTTGCCAGGAGAAACGTTGTGCTGAGTTCGACAACCAAGAAGATAACATCAGGAAGGAGCACTCGTTGGGTGCATTGGCCCTTTCGTATGTCAAGCCTTCGGTTCCCTCGTTCCATTTCAAGCATATAGCTCCATAATTTTGGCTCTACCACTTACTTTTACTTCGTTGTCCTCCTCAGAGTCGTTGGAGCCTGTCTGATGAAAGAGGGAGGCAAGCTGAACCTCGAGGAATTGGAGAATCTCCTGGGTAAGCGAGTGCGTCTATGGAATCAATCCATATATATATGAGCCTTTACATTGTTACGATGGCCGTGACTGCAGGGATACGACGAAGAAAACTGTACGACATTTTCAACGTCCTGGAGTGTATCAGCATAGTAAAGAAACAAGGGAAGAATGAGTATCTGTGGCTCGGATCAGATGGCATTGGTGAAGCTCTTGGCAGAATCAAGGTGTGTGCTGAAGTGTTTTTTTTTTCTATCAAGATTCATACGTTGCTCTCAACTGATAGGGGTTCGTTTGCAGGGCAACGTCATTGCTGGTGGAGAAGGTAGTATGAGCGCGGGCGTGACTTCACTGCAGGGAAATAACGCTTTCTATGAAAAGTCATCACCAGGAACGGCAGACCCACAGTGTTATGGTTCAGGCAAGGACAGTGAAGTCAACCCAGATACAAGAAGAGGGTCGAACTTGAGGAATCTTGGAGAAAAGTTTGTTCAGCTCTTTCTTCAAGACACGGTATGTTTTAACCAATGAATATTCCCAGCTCCGATTTTATAAGTTAGATTGAACAATTGATTCGCACTTACCTTTTGTGTTTTCTCGTTCGCAGAATGCAACAATATCCTGGGAAGACGCAGCTGAGATGTTGCTTGACTCACCAGATGATCGATGTGAGCAGTCAACACAATGCCACTTCTTTCATTCCGTCATGCTTCTCACTAACATCATCATTGTTTATATGCAGCTCTCATCCGGAGGCTATACGACGTGGTGAACATACTGAGTTCGATTAATCTGATTGAAAAGGTGCAAGAGGCTCCTGCCATTGAACAACCGCATTCCACCATTCCCAAGTCACATTACCGCTGGATTGGAGTCAACGGTCCTCAGCAATGTTTTGAGGGAATCATCAAAGCATCTGAATCCGCAACAAACCGCTTTCAGCGTCCATCTGCAACTTCAGAAGCTGCTTTGAAGACTGGAATTACCCCCGCCAAGAGAGACCGCGAGCTTCCGTCTATCACATGGCGAGTTGTGCAGGCTCCCCTTCGCATGCCTTCGGCGGAGGTCCAGGAGGCATTTACGGCAAGATCGGGCATCTCCATCTCAACTCCTGGATCTGCACAACCACAAAGCCATACTCCGCGTACAACACAACAGCTCCATCAGCAATCACCAGTTTCATCCAACATTCAATCTCAGCAACGGCAGCAGCAGGGTAAACAATTGCAGACGCCTGCTAAGCTGATGGGGGTTGGGAAGAACGTCTTGGAGCCATCTGGCCATAAGCGTTCCGCACAGAAGAAGCAACAGGCATTGCGGCCACGGCATACCACGGAACCCGACCGTGAACCACCAAGCCCTGCTGAGCCTCTCATGAGGAACATCGGCGGAACCCTGAGGCTCCGAATTACTGATGGAGTTGCTGTACCTGATGAGGCTGGTCGAAGGTTGCTGACTGGTGAAGATGGCGAAGCCTCAGTCCCGCCA